GGGGGCCCGGGGGGGGGGGGGGTTGCAGTGGCAGACGTGGAGGGGGGCATGGAGGGTCATGTGACCCCCCAATTTCTGGGGCAATTTTTTTCCTAAAATTTTTTTAACATATCTCACACTTTGTGTTGACTCTCTCTCTCCTTTTACCAAAACCTTAACACTTCTAATTCTTCAAAATTCATCTTATCATTTCTTCATAAATTACCACATCTACTACAAATATTCACTTCATAATCAAATTGTCAACTAATTAGAACCTAAATTTGTCTTCTTCTTTTTTTGGCTACCAATTTGTTCTATCATTATTGCAAAGTGATTGTCAATATGCTACCACTGGCTTGTTTGTCATTGCAATTCACCTTCGCTCTGGACCTTCTGACGCAATCAAATTAAGTTATTTTGCCATTGAAAATCGGACTCTTTCATCTCATCTTTTCTCTCTAGGCCAAAACCTACGATTTAATTTTATTTTTTTTGGGGCAGTGGCAAACATGGAGGAGGCCTGTGGGTCACCTGACCCAACTTTTGGGCAATTTTAAACAAAACAAAATCACAACATATCTCACTTTTTGTTGACTTTCTCCCTCTCGCCTTTTACCAAAACCCTAACACTTCTAATTCTTCGAAAATTGTCTATCATTTCTTTGTAAATGACCAAATTTACTACAAATATTCACTTCCTAATCAAATTGTCAACTAATTAGAATCTAAATCTGCCGTTTTTGCTACCAATTTGTTCTAAAACTGTTGCAAAGTAATTGTCATCACACTGCTGCTGGCTTGTCTGCAATTTCAATGCCACCTCCACTCGTGGAATTTCAGACACAATCAAATTAAGTTATTTTGACGTTGAAAATTGAAAGATAACTAGTAGGCTGATGACAAGAACTTATAATTTTAGGTGCACAGTGTCAGATCCCACTAATTTTGCATTTATATTAATATATTTGACCTACTTTTGCATTGTGTCTCATTTTCAGTTTTCCAAATCTTAATCTTGCCTTATGAAGCAAGGTTGATTCATTTTATTTTGAACGTGTTTATCAATCCACATAAACACTTCATTATTTTAGGTGCACGGCGTTAGTTGCTACAAATTTAGCTGTTAATTTGATATGCCTGATCTATTTTGTTAATATCATAATATTTTGAAGATGACGTAAAAGTGCTTTTTATGCAGAATTCAATTCCTTTTTCCTTCCTCAGTAGCAATTAAGCTTTCATAAGAACTATCAAATGATGCTCTGGTTATAATTTCAAGTATTCACTTTAAAGCACTGAGTTGTAATCCAATTTTTGCAAGAAGATCATAATTGTATTTGCAACCAGTGATTTTTGTATGGATCGAACTCGCATATAGTATTAGTTAACTTGTATCAATAAACTCTACAACTGATTCCTTAATTTGTCGGTGTTAATTCAGTGCATAGTCATGGCATATATTACGTTCATGAAAGAGCTAGCAAGATTTCACATTTTTGTTTCAATTAACTAATGGGTTCGAATGACTTGTTTATGGGTCTTGGATTCTTTCATGTTACAAATTACCTTAAATTTTTGTCTTGATTATGTTCTACAATTTCTCCTCCCTCCTATGATCCTGCCCAACAAAGAAAAATATCGAAAATGGAAAGTAAAGAGCTATTTTTTGGTTGCCGTTATATATTTATACTACTGGCTCTTTCCTTTTTGCTGCGGTTCATATGCACCATACCCACACTATTATTGCAGGTGTTTGGAATATTTTGTTTGTGAAATGTTAATTGAATTTTTATGATGTCAGAAGAATTTTGTTGGGTACCACATGCAGAAACTTTTGAGATGTGTATATTTGAACCTAGATTTTCAACTTGATTTTAAAATTGTGGAATCAGATTTAGTATTGGGACAATTTTTGAGTGATAGTTTTTCTATAGATTTTGACCTAATTCCTTTATAATGCCTCTCTTTTGGACTTGGAAAATCTTGTTTTAAATTATTTTAAGCCAACATTTTTAAGGAACTGGTATATTTGGACTTTTCAACTTAAATTAATTGTTCTGAAATAATGAAATAACTTCTGGGGTTGGAAAATCTTGTTGATTAACTACATTGATTCCGTGATATTCCAAATTTAAATCGATTTCGTGCAAAAGCACGTCAACTATAAGACATTTGGTGGCAGTCATTTTAAGATAGACCCTGTTTGACGCTTTTTTATTTCGAAACTCTTTATTTTTCATACTCATTTTCAACCACACATTCACTAAATTATTTTGCATGTAAATTCAACACTTTTTCTTACTTCTTAACCACATATTCTCCAAAAAAAATCAATTTCTAAAATATTGTTTTCCCCCCAATTTCTCTTTATAATGACAGTCAAACTGGGGCTTAGAATTTCTTAGGGAAGCTAGGAACTATTTTGTATGTGCTCTTCAATGCATGAAACATCAAAATTACTTGCAAGTTGTCAATGCAGTAGCCAGTAGTTTGGATGTATATTTTCTACCATTTTATGAATGCATTCTCGTGCAACTTGTCAGTGCAGTAGCCGGTAGTAGTGGTTATGTATTTTGAACAAAATGAGTGCATATTTTCAATTTTTAGTATGTTGTCTCCTAATGATGATATTGTTTAGATGTTACATCTTCGATGAATTTCTTGTTCAATTTAGAGTGTGTGCAGACAATTCCATATAGTAACATTGTTGTCAATATGTTATCCTATTTTTTCTTGTGTTTTATCATGTACGCCAGTAATTTTACGAGTAGCGTCTGATAGTAGCGTACTTGTGTTGCAGATTTAATATGGAAGAACAAAGTGTTATATCAGGAGGCGCATCTACTGGGGCAGGGGAAGTTTCCGATTCCAACAATAGCATTTCCCACCTTCATAACAAGTATCCAAAACATGATTATGCTGCCGCCTGTTCAAAATATAAAGGAGTGGTGATCCAACAGAATGGGCACTGGGGTGCTCAGATATATGCCAACCATCAGCGCATTTGGCTCGGGACTTTCAGGTCAGAGAAGGAAGCTGCAATGGCATATGACAGTGCAGCTATCAAGCTTCGTAACGGAGACACACAGCGAAACTTCCCTTTGAGCGATGTCACTATCCATGAGCCAAACTTCCAAGGTCAGTTTAGTACTGAAGTTGTCCTCAACATGATCAAAGACGGTACTTATGCGTCTAAATTCTCTGATTATCTGTCAGCACGAGCCCAAGTAGGTCACAGTTTGGCTACTTCGCCCAATACAACAGGGTTTCTAGGCGGACAACTTTTCCAGAAGGAACTCACACCAAGCGATGTTAGCAAGCTGAATCGTCTTGTCATTCCAAAAAAGTATGCCGTGAAGTATTTCCCTCGGATATCTGATTTGGAAGACAATAATGGTGGTAATACGGAGGAAGTAGAACTGGTATTTTTCGATCCATCAATGAGGCCATGGAAGTTTCGCTATTGCTATTGGAAGAGTAGCCAAAGTTTCGTGTTCACTAGGGGCTGGAATAGATTTGCAAAAGAAAAGGGGCTAAGGCCAAGGGACAGGATTATATTTAGTGCATATGGATGTAGAGATGGATCAAACGAAGTTCGGAAACTCTGCATGATTGATGTTGCATATTATGATGGTGCGCATGTACACGGGATTCAGGCCAGTAACAATGGTGAGGATGCATTGAACCTTCAGATTGCACAGCCTGCTGAGGATCTTGATCATGGCGAAGAAGCTGAGGAAATGAATATACAACATAATGGTGAAGATGAAAATGCATCTGGAGGAGAAAGGGATTTTTTGGGAACTTTTCCAACGAATACAGAAAAAATTGGATTCAGGCTATTTGGAGTGCAAATTACTTGAGGAAGATTATATTTTCATTGTATAATTGAAGTTTTATGTTGCACAGAGGTGATGATTACTACACGTTTCCTGTTATCTCTGGCAATTTAACTTCTTTTTTGAATTACTTGTGGAATTTGTTGTTTTCAATTTTTTTTATCATTTACAAGTCAAAAGTACTGTTGATTTGTTTACAACTTGACTCTAAATTTATTGTAATTAATTTTTATTTGTTTAATGCTATCCTAGTAAGTACTAGTGAACACCAGTTTATAAGCATGTTTGAGAGCGTTTTCTAGTGTGTGTAGACACTGGTCTTA